CTTGGCCTCCCAGAGTGCTAGGATTACAGGAGTCAGCCCGGCCAGACACCTGGATTTTTATAGCTACTTCTGCAGTCAGTTGCTTGTGATGATTAAAGTGTATGAAGGAAATCCAACCTCACGCAGACACATAATTGGAAAGGAGGGGGTATTTTTGAATAGCCTTTCAAATAATTGAGGATATTCTTTAATATTATACCAAATTTGACAAGTAGTAGTTTCTTAACGGTTGTTACAATGTGAAAACTGAATCCATATTGAAATTTTTCATAAGTTAGATTAAAATCCATTGGTCTACTTAGCATTTTGAATGGATATTTTATCATGTATGATTTATAATATGCATTGGTTATTTGTAAAATACAGGCTAACCGAGTTATGCAGATCTTCCAGCTGTTAACACATTCATTATACGTTATCCAAAAATCACATTGTTTAATATCACAACTCGTCATTAGAAATGTCTTTGAGTATTGGAAAACTGGTAAATTCATGGTGGCAGATGCAATGTTCCAAAATTACGATTTCTAGCTGAAAGCTCAAAAGTTGTAAATTTATTTATCAAAATGGTTTCAGTTGTTTTCCCTGAGGTGTCAGAATTACTTCAGTTTCAGAAAAATATCTGCCAAATACCCAAATCTGAACATCCACAGTTTGTCAGTGTTGTTTCTAGTAAAAACGGTGCTCCGAGAAGAAAAGCAGCTAGTTCGTTGTGCAGTTCCAACAGGTGCGACTTATTAAATGATATAATTGCGATTTAATTCCCTTATCATGGGTAAGACCTGAGGACGGGGCCAGTGGTTTGGGATGGCTGAGAACTGCCAGCCCGCTCCTGGCTCCGGACTCATGTGCTCGTGTTTCCATTTTTTCAGAAAAAAAATCCCTGGCTCCAGTGTTCGATGGCGACTACTGCCCGGAGCCGCTGACGGTGGAGGTGCAGGTCCAGCTGAGCCAGAGCCGCTCGGCCTCCGAGGCGCTGCGCGCGTCCGCCGTGTAGCCGCGGGCAGTAAAGGCCGCTCTGGGCACCGGGCCTCGCTCTGTCCGCGCGCCGGGGCGGGAGTGGGGACGCCGGGGAGGAGCGGCCTCTGCCGGCCCGGCCCGAGCAAAGACCGGGGAAGGGGCGCGGGGCACGTGCACCGGGGTAGGCCCGCGGAGACCCGGGGGCAGCACCTGCGGGGCCCGCCCCGCCCCCTCCGGGAGCCCCGCCCCGCCCCCCGTGCCGGGGCGTGTGCAACGCGGGGCGGGGCGGGGCGGGATACGGCTCCGCCCCCGCTCTTAGACCCTCGCGCACCTGGGCGCGCGCCCACAGCTCCGCCGCGCAGCTCCTCGTCCGTGCCCGGCCCCGGCGTCACGCCCAGGTAGGTCCCGAGAGCGGGTCGCGCCGGGCCTGGGCCCGGCTGCTGTGAGGGCGGCCGTGTCACCCGCGCGGGGAGGGGCGGGCGCCGGGGCTGCCTGGGCCTCTGCACCCCGCGTCCGGCCGCCGGCCCCCGGGGGCTGCGGAGCCGGGCCTGGCCTCGGCCGGTGGTCGCCGCGCTCGGCCGTCGTCCGCGGGCCGGGGCAGAATGTCCCGCGTCGTGCTCCCGCCAGCCTGGGCTGGTGGCCCTCGCGGGGTCGGTCCGTGTTCTGGCCACCGCGGTCCCCAACAGCCCTCTGGAGAGTCGGGTTGAAGAAGGAGCCAGGCCTTGGCCCTTTCTCGCATCGTAGCGTGTCGGGTCACCGAGTCCTGCGAGGACCCCGCCTGTCACCCCAGGAGCAGCCCCCGGGACCCCGCGTTCCCCCTGCGGGAGTCGTGCAGCCGCGCTCCGGGCCCGGAGGGGGCGCGGGAAGGGCCGGCGGGGAGCGGGGGCTGCGGGGATCCGGGCCGGGCTGCGCCCTCCTCGGCCCACCGCGCCGCCGAGCGCCCGCGGGTCCCGCGCACCTGGAGCCCATCGCGCCCCGACGCCGCCGCAGCCCTGGCCCCCGGCGTCCGGGGCAAGAGAGAAGTTTCCAGCAGGGAGACTGGCCGCCCCCAGCCCGTTAGCGGCAGCCGCACCCTTTTAAAAACTGCACATTCTTTCATTGCTTCTGCCAGAGCCCCCGTGGGTCTGCCTGGCGCTCCGGCGAGACCGGCTCTTTCCCCGCCTCTCCCGAGGCCCCGCCGCCGCTTCCTCCGTCCCCTTCCTCTCCCGGTGCTCCGCTGCGCTGCGCTCGCCCTCCTCGCACGGCTCCCCGATCATCACGGTCTGCCCCGGTCCAGAATCAGCCCTTGCTCACGTGTCCCTCTACCAAGGAGGGCATTGGTAACCAGCATAGGCGACAGCGACCTCCAGTCGCTTCATTCCGTTACCCGCCCTAACCTGGCTCATGGCGGAGTTTGGCGGTCAGGACCCTGTCTTGCCGCTACATCCCCGGCACCTGGCAGAGTTGCTTTTCTGGTGGCAGCGGTGGGGACAACAGGGATGAGGCTGCTGCAGGTAGACTGGTTAGCAGTGAGGAGAGTGGGGGAGGGGATTGGGGCGAGGGGGACACTTGGAGGGACAAAAATGGCAAGGTGGGACACTGACGCTTGGCTTTGCCACCGTGAACCTTGGGCAGGTTACTCTGGTGGATTCTGTTTCCTTGTCCTTCTCCTCTTTGGGTCGCTGAGGGACCTGGTGGGAGAAGTCAGCACTGTGCACGTGGCGGGAAGAGGGGGCTGCAGGCCGGCCTGGGAAGCCATCTGGTAAAAGGCACCGGCTTTCCTGCTCCTGCCCTGCTGTGTGTGTGGTTTTGTCTCAAAACCCAGTTAACTGACTCCTCCCCCCCAAACCCGACCACTGGAGGCAGGTGTGGAGGGGGTGGTGTTCTCTGGTGGCAATGGCCACCTGCGCCCTGCAGTGCTGGGTCACCCCCTAAGTGCAGCGCCTGCGGCTTGGTCCTCTCTGAGACACCCAACACAGCCTGCCGCAGACGCACCAGGCAGTCACAACACCTTTTTTTCCTTAAATGATTTGACTTCAGATTTGAGGAACCCTGAGCTTCAGGTTTCATGAGTGAATTTCATCCAAAGCTAACCTAAGTCTGTGCCGTTTTCACTCTTTTCCGTCAAACTCGTCAGGTGTTTGAATTTTCTGGAAAGGTTAAGAATGTTTATGGTGTCTCAGCTTTGAAGGGGCTGCAAGTTATTTGGGGAAAATGTCGACCCAAGAGCCCGCAGCTGATGGCAGAGGAAGGCGAGGGCTGGCACAGCAGGTGTGCTTACTGCCTCTGAGGCAGGGACTCTGGAAAGAGCCAGAGGACACACTGAGAATAAAAGGACGTCCCAAAAGTCAGCAGGGACTTAGCTGCTGGGTTGCGCCATAACTCTGGCTCAGCTCTTGGGGACAGGAACCCAGGCGAGGGAGGGGGCGGGGCAGGGCCCTGCTCAGGCGGCTGTCTCCCTGCAGGGACTTGCGATGCTGCGCAGGCTGGCCCGGCTGCTCCTGTACAGCCTCGCGGTGCTCCTGCTCGGCAGCCTGCTCTTCCTGCTGAAGGAGGCAAAGCCAGCCGGGGACCCCACGACCCACCAGCCCTTCTGGGCTCCCCCAGGGCCTCGCCGCAGCCAGTGTCCACCCAACCGCACAGTGGCTAATGCCTCCCTGTCCCTGCCTAGCCGTCACCGTCTCTTCTTGACCTATCGCCACTGCCGAAACTTCTCCATCTTGTTGGAGCCTTCTGGCTGCTCCAAGGACACCTTCCTGCTCCTGGCCATCAAGTCGCAGCCTGGCCACGTGGAGCGGCGTGCGGCCATCCGCAGCACATGGGGCCGGGCAGGGAGCTGGGCCAGCGGCCGGGCGCTGAAGCTGGTGTTCCTTCTGGGGGTGGCAGGACCCACGCCCCCGGCCCAGCTGCTGGCCTATGAGAGTGGGGAGTTCGATGACATCCTGCAGTGGGACTTTGCTGAGGACTTCTTCAACCTGACGCTCAAGGAGCTGCACCTGCAGCGCTGGGTGGCAGTTGCCTGCCCCCAGGCCCACTTCATGCTGAAGGGGGATGATGATGTCTTTGTCCATGTCCCCAATGTGCTAGAGTTCCTAGATGGCTGGGACCCGGCCCAGGACCTCTTGGTGGGAGATGTCATCCGCCAGGCCCTGCCCAACAGGAACACCAAGGTCAAATACTTCATCCCACCGTCCATGTACGGAGCCCGCCACTACCCACCCTATGCCGGAGGTGGAGGGTATGTCATGTCCAGAGCCACCGTGCGACGCCTCCAAGCAGCCGTGGAAGAGGCGGAGCTCTTCCCCATCGATGACGTCTTTGTGGGTATGTGCCTGAGGAAGCTGGGGGTGAGCCCCACGCACCATGCTGGCTTCAAGACGTTTGGAATACGACAGCCTCTGGACCCCCTGGACCCCTGCCTGTACAGAGGGCTCCTGCTGGTGCACCGCCTCAGCCCCCTGGAGATGTGGACCATGTGGGCACTGGTGACAGATGAGGGGCTCAAGTGTGCAGCTGCCCCCAGAGCCCCGCTCTAAGGGGTGGGTTGAGCAACAGCTCAAGAGTGGACTCGTTGATTTTCTATCTGGTTCCTGCTGGTCTGCAGGAAATGCTGACTTCGTTTTTGTAACCCAACCCCCACCCACCTTGTTAGCGCTGATTAAAGACAGTGCCCTGGCTCACTTGTCCGGCGTGTGCTGAATGGGAGCCAGGCGGACCCGAAGGAGGCGGTGCCTGGAGCACCTGGGGCTCTGGCAGTCTGCGGTCTGGAGGAGGGAGGCTGCACAGGGCCCCAGAAGACATACACGTTTTCTTTTTTTAAATGCAAAAAAAAATTTATTCTTTTCCTTTAGATGCAACAGACAAACTCGAAAGAAGGAAACCAGAGGCATGTGTTAGAACAGTCCCGTTGAGAGCACCAGGTAAACACTCCGCATTCATTCCCTTCCTGGCAACAGACTTTTGACTCCTTGGCCTGAGCTGTCCTTGCAGGGCAGTGGGGCCCGATCAGAGAAGGAACTGGAAACACGTAGACATCCTCCTAACCGGATGGACTCCCCTTCCCCCCAAAATTCACACCCCTTCAGAGGGAGCAAATACTAAATCATATTTGAAAATGTGAGTAAGATTAAAAATCGAGGCTAAACGGCTACTGAACCTAAGGGCGTGACAAAAAAGGACCCCCTCTCTGGCCCAGGTTGGCGAATGCTTTGGGTATGAGGTAAGAACATCAGCGGGTGAGAGCAGCTGTACGGAGTGGGGCGAAACGTTAAAGAGGGTGCAGGGCCAAGAACCTGGTCCAGTACAAGCCTGAGACCGCAGCGGGAGGGGCTGGGCACTCACAGCTCACAGAGGCCTCTCGCCTGACTGGCCAGGGCAGGACCTGCCGCCTCTTCCCTGCGCAGAGTCGCACCAACCCCGGGCAGGATGGCGTCCGCCCCCGCTTTCCCACTGAGGGAGCAGACAGGGCAGTGGGTCAGGCCCTCAATCCTCTCGCAGGTAGGCCTCGTGCTCCTGCTCCGGCTCCACCCGCTCGTCCCCTTCCTCCGGTGTTTTCTGACGGACCTCTTCTGTCTGTGCTTCTGCCAGCTTGGTTTCCGCTTTCTGCGAGAGCTGCCGCACCTCCTGCACCTGCAGTTTCACCAGCTGAATGTGATTCCTGGCCGTCACACAGGCCTGATCTGCTCCTGCCAAGAGACGGGACAACTGAGCCAAGCCCACCAACGGGGTAGAAGCGGCACACATGGACACAGAAAGGCCTGCGGGCGCCGTGGCTGTCATCTGAGCCCCTCTTGGGGTCGGGTTCCCTGGAGTGGGGAACCTTTCACCTCCATGTCCAGGTCTGCATTTAACTAACCGATGCTTTATTGTCAAAAACCCCAGTACTTTTCTTCAGCCATCAGCAGCTAACATGGTAAGTACTAAATGCAACTCCCACCATCATCTTTATAGCTGTGTAGCTCTTAGTACAGACCTTTCATCAATTTAATTTTTTAACTACACAGGTCATACATTTCCTTTTGACAAATTAAGAGATCAGTAATAGAACTTCTGAAGATCCCTTTCATCACCCTACTTAATCTTCAGAGGTAACCTCTTTTGGGAGTTTAGAGGTATTTTTCTCATCTTTCAAATGTAACTACATACATACAGAATGCACAGAAAAATATTCTACTATAAATTTATATAACAGCATAAAAAATATTGACCATATTTTATAACTTTTTTTTCATTTAAAAATGTTTTGAGCTCTACCATTTTACTTGCTGCTAGTGTATTTCATCATACAGATAGGCATATTTTATCAATTCATCTACAGAACACTTGGATTTTTCCTTTCTATCTTACTGTATTAACAAGAACCTTCAGTACAACGTTGACAGGGAGTGGGCAACAGCAGGCATCCTCCTCTTTGATGGTTATCACAAAATTCTGTTTTTCATGTTAAGAAAATTCTCTCTTCATAAGTGTACTTAGATTTTTTTTTTTTTTTAAAGATGGGGTCTCCATCGCCCAGGCTGGAGTGCAGTGGTACTATCGGAGCTCACTGCAGCCTCAATCTCCTGGGCTCAAGGGATCCTCCCACCTCAGTTTTCCAAGTAGCTGGGACTACAGGCATGCGCCACCACACCCAGCTAATTGTCCTTTGATTTAAATCATGAGTGTTACATTTTATTGAAGGCATTTGGAGCATATATTGATATGATTGCATGGTGGCTTTTCTCTTTAATCTCAAGTAGTGAATTATGTTGATATTTTTTAATGTTGAATTATCATTGTATTTTGAGGGTAAATGGCCACATTTCGTTTACATCTGTGTTCAGAAGTGAAACTGAACTAGTTCTTGCATGTTGGTACTGCCCTAGTCCAGTTTAGGATCAGGCTTCACACAGTTCTAATAGAAGGCTTGTAATTTCTGTGCACTGGTACACTTTCTGTAATGTAGAATTACGGCTTTTGAAAATTTGATAAAACTCTC